ATCTCAACTGATGCAAAATGTCTTCCCGAATGCGCGCTTGATGCTGGCTGAGCCTCAGCTGGACCATCACCACGACGGAATATGGAGTGCTGTTGTAGGCGCCGCTCACCCCAAGGCTGGCCGTTAACAAAAGGTCCGTCAGCTCCTTATTAGTTCCCATCACCACGACGGAATATGGAGTGCTGTTGTAGGCGCCGCTCACCCCAAGGCTGGCCGTTAACAAAAGGTCCGTCAGCTCCTTATTAGTTCCGCAGCTGGCTTGGACTGATACTATCATGCCAACATGCCTTACACCCTCTCCTTCGGTCGGCCTTCCATTCCGTCCCGTGGGCCTCTCCTAAGCTAAGACATAACTAGTGAGTCTTGGCCACTGAATGATGGAAGTTGGACGGTTTCCAGACGTTTGGCCAAGAAACACCATCCCTCAGGCAGAGGCGTCTCTTATTCCAACACCCTGGACCAGCCAACCAGGCACCCCAAGCTCCCATCCAACACCTCGAGCTAGCCCACTCCCACTTCCTAGGCATGGTCGGAGAACGGTCGGAGACTTGACAGTAGACAAGGGCATGCGCGTGGCTGCCCCTTGTACTAGCAACTTGGGCCGACTTCACTTCTAGTTAAGCTCATCTTGCCCAACTCAGCTTCCTTCCACACGCCACGGAGTACTCTGTAAAAGACCAATCATATCTTGTCTTGTGTTGACTGGTACTGTACTCCGTAGTACGAAGCAATGGTTCCGAGTACCTAGGTAGTTAGATCCTTACCTAAGTGCAATTGGAGCGCTGCGGTACCAGACAGCAGATGTTCCTTGGGTACTGGCAACCTGACAGGTCGCCGAGAAACGCCCAAGACGCCCTCCACTGCTACCATGCCATCAAATCATCATACGCCGATGCACTAGCAGCGATCATGCATTCGCTAGTCCGGAGATTGGCTCACAGCGTTTGCAGCGACCAGCTCCGCACGTCACGGGAAGGGGACCACATGCAAGATGGAGAATGCGTTGGGGATGTCAAGCCTGTCAGTCGATCTCGGTGCACCCTGGAAGAGGAAAGAGACTGAAGAGAGCGAGTGCTTCAACGACGAGACGTATAGCACATCTGGCCACCCATTATTATCCCAAGAACAATTACTGGCCAACCATCAAGTTCAAGTTTTGGGCTTTTTGCATGATCTCTCACGCGCAATTCATAACAAACCTCAAGGCAGTGTGCGCTATTTGACTTCAATAAGACTTGCCACATCGCACAAGGACAATACAAAGCACAGCAGCCCCGAAGCACTGGGACCAATGGGGCTGCAAGCCTTGTCGAGCAGAGGGATGGCAACATTACTTTGGGGCACGTTGACTTGTGATTGGGAAACGAAAACGCCCCCCGTCAAGAATAAGAGGTGTCGTTTCGACCTCTGTTCATGGAAGAGGAGGGGTTTTGTCTAGCAACCTGTCAAACACACCAGATCTTGGCGAAATGGATCAACTACGCCAGTATACGTGGTGCTGTACCATTTCTCTTGTGTACATACCTACCTAGGTGCCTAGGTAACTAGGTAGGTATGGAATAGTGCGTATCGTACACAGAAACTCGAGCCCACTCTTCTACCACGAAGAACTGGGGCGATGCCAGTGTAACCTCGTCAAAAGCATGACGTACTACCGTGGCGCAACACTTTTGGCAGCTGCCGGTTTACTGGAACTCTAGTACGGATGCGCAGAGAATACGGAGTAGTCCATGCTGAGATGTGCTGAGTGCAAAGTACGTACTTGTTGTCTATCTACTAGGTACCTCCGTAGGTATGTATAATTTGATCTTCATCTTATCGAGAATAGCATCCACCAAGTCGATCCGATGCAAGTCATCATGTGCCGCTAGTCGGGTGACCCTAAAAAGCGAAAAGATTGCTGCAGGTTTGAGGAGGTAGTCGCGGTTTACAATCTCGTGCAAGGTGCCCTTTGGTTGTTCTTTTTGTCTTTGACTACGTCCGTGGCGATTGTAGGCACTCAAGTGAGAAGTGAGTACTCGTCGCAACGTCGCTCCGCCGTTCACAAGGGAAAGTGTTAGGTTGGTGTAGTAGACAGTGTTTCACGCTTGTTCAAGTACTTAAGTATGTACCAGGTTGCAGCGGTCGTGCCTAAACGTTGCTATCAAAATAACACAACAGTAATCCAGTTTCTCTTCACCCGTCGCTGCTCGTATTGGCAGAATCCAGACTGGATCGATCCCACGATGTCCTCCGGTGAGAGCAGTCAAGGTTCCATGCCAATAAGGTGGATGTTTCACCTGGAATGGATATCAGGGTCTCTCGGGGAGCAATGATGATATTGGACGATTGACAGACGTGAGCGGCCAAGCAAAGCTTTTCTCCCAAGGGCATTCATGATGAAACAAAACACCTCATCTACGGCTCAGTTAAATGTATGCTTACAACCTGTGAAACAAGTCTGTTTACGACAATACCTCCGACTCAGTGTCCGATGCAAGTCCCAACCGCAATAAAGAAGCCGTCCAGCTCAGTGTCATCTATCTAGACCAGCATAGTTCACAATTCTACCGCGGAATGATGCCAAGCCGAGTGATGCATCCACGAGCATTTTGTCTCGAAACCTCGCCGTCTTTTGTCCTGTGCTGAACCCGGACACCGTCCAATGGGTGGCGAGCGTCTCATTTGCTCCTTTCTTTTGTCACGACCGTGTACAGAGTATAGCAGAGCAGATTGGTACGTCGAGGTGTTTTATTCAGGGCGAACTGCCTCCCGAGCAGTCCGGGCAATGCCCATGCTCGCGTCGACAGAAACATGTAACTACGTTACTGTGAGCATCCGTTTGTAGCGCGCATTTCGTCTAATAACCGGGCTTTGACACAGACTTGCGGTCCGGACTTGCATAGCACGTGTCGCATTTTTGTATTGGCGGATGCGAGAGAGTTTCCAGCTTCATCTGGTCTGTTTCATATAGAGCAAACTTTTTGATGAGCTACCTCGACGAGTTCAGAGTTGCCAGACGAGAACATCTCTGCTAGGCTGGAGATGTCAAAAACTAGGAGATGGTGAGATGGTCCCCCTTTGCAACATGTCAAGTTTCCCAGCAGCCCGAAATGTCCCAAATCACGTCCTGCGCTTGCACCCCCAATAGCAGGTTCCCCTTCGACGCAATCATGTACTACTCTCCAATCCCTCACAATCAAGGAATTTGGTGGCCAAGAGGTCATGACTCCCAGTGACCGGTCTGCGCAAAACGAATGCTCACATGTCTAGCAAGGTTATTCCAAACAGGTCCAATAAAAAAAAAGCAAAATACGCAAACAACAAAGACAGACATCAACACACCTGTTTGGGATCCAGGGTCCAGTATCAACTTGGCAAAATAACCCGACACCACGCGCAGCCGAACACATTCATTATCCCCACCGACGTCGATCATGACTCAAAAAGCGTTTTGGATACGACAAGGAACCGGGAACAGCGACATTAGTAGATTACCAAGTACGGAGTACGAGACAGCCCAGATCTGGCGGACCAAAAAGAAACGGGAGCGTGGTTCAAATGTCTGCAGGGTGGAACGTGGCTTTCTCGGTGAAGCAGTCTGAGACAAACACATGCCCGTTGCTTTTGTCCACCCTCCGTCATCTTTGCATCGTCATCCTTTCCTCTGGACGACGCAAGATTGCTCGTGCATCGTGCAGCTACCGGGGTTGAATTTGAAAAAAAAGGGGGGGAAAGAAGCTGTCGTCACACAGGTTCGTTTCCTCGTGGCGATATGTACGGCGGCCATCCGCTCAAGAGGCATGCAGCATTGCCACGTTGAACGTTTTGCTCTTTTGTTTTCCTTTCTTCTCTTCTCTTCCTTTTTTTTTTTTGACGCTCAAACACTAGAACACTTCTCCACCCAAGAGTTTGATCGTACGAATAGGTACTACTCCGTAGATATTGCGTCTTGTTCTCCCCCCCAACCACCGCGCCAGCCGACCAACTCGCTCCTTGGGCATTCCTAGCCAGACAATGCGGTTACGGCTGCGCATGTCCGCCCGTCTCGCGGTATCACAACTAAACATGTGATGGATCCTCTACACTCCGATCCAGTTGCACGAATAGCTGCTACAGCAAGGAGCAGCTCATGTCACACGGAAAACTCAGCTTTGCTAAGATTCTTCAGGGAACCCCCGGACATGCCGTCAACCCACCCGTCATATGACTGCCTCGCCATGTGCAATGTATCCACCAGGTAAATACACCTTGGAAGCCCTGCGACACCGCTCCCCCGTGCCGCCTTGATCCCCTCATGCCCATGTGGTACTAGAAATGATATCCGGAGTCTCCCGTACACCAGCCTCGCTTAGGACCCTTTAGTTTCTCCTTGCGGCCCGGCGTTTGCGGGTTCTTTTTGGTCCCCGACCGGGGGGATTTCTCCCTCGTGTGCGACTCCGGGAGGTATGTGATGCTCGTGGGGTGGAGACATGGCGGGCCGTTGGAAACGGGAGTCAGACTTCAAACGGTTGCGCGTGGCCAGGGCATGTCCGGGAGTTGTAGGCAATTCGGCTGACGGTATTGAGCAGCGGCCGCATAGGAGACGCCGTGCACGACGAACCGGTATGTGGTTGCTTCGATATGTGGTTTTGAGATGCTTTCGTCATGGTGAGGCGAGGCTTGCGAGACTGGTGCGGCGTTGGGAGTGTACATACACGAAGGATATGTTGATTTAGACTATACAGCTTGGGACTACCCTATCAAGACGGAATATGAATGCCGCAACGTCAACAATTATACACAAAGCCGGCGCCTACTCACCAATATGTAGGCTAACCTACAGGAGTGAATTCTTGAATGCTTCAGCTCAATCATAACGAACCGCCACGAAACCGTCTTACGGAACCCTCGATAACGCGCATGTCCCGCCATCACGACCAAGAAATTCGACTTCAACGCCCCAAGTGACCAGCTGTTGCCACTGTCGCCGCAATGATGAAGCATGCTTGTCTTCAGTCGCTCTTCTTTCACACGGCCCCTTAATAGGTCGCTTGCTCTATTTGCCACGTAGCCGTCTTCGCCCTCTCACGCACATCCAAGTCCCGATCTTGTTGCCTCAACGTCTCCATTTTGGAATAGAAACCGAGCTTTTTCAGCTCCTGTGCCCGCTGTGAGCAGGCCTGTGCCTCGGCGTCGTCTTCCTGCCAGGTCAGGTTGATAACAAGGTAACACAGCGATGCCCGCACGCCTCGGTCCTTGCTGTTAACTTGCTGGGCGAGGAGCTTCAAAAGCTCTGTTTGCGCAATGACGAGCTGCTGATGTCGGGGGATACTAGCGGCCATGTGGACGAGGATGCATATGACGGCCACAATAATCCTGGCTTGCGGATGGAGGACCCGAGTCTCCCTACCACTGACCGGAGTTCTTCTTGAGAACGGATGTAGAACCTTTGACCGTAGTTTTGAGGCCAGAATCTCGAAGAGTCGATCTTGCCCGAGTTCGCTAAACAAGTGATCAATCATCTCGGTCGTTTCACTGGGAGCCTCTGATGATACGCCAGATTCCGGTCTTCCGATGAAGTTTCTTATAAAATCTAAGCCTTGTTCTTGAATCGCCAGTCTGTCGTTTCGTGCTTTTCTAGTTGGATTGAGTTCTGCCTCACGCACAGAAGCCAGCCGGTCCTCCACCTGTCGTAGCCTTGACGATCGAGAAGCATCCAACTCTCGTATAGTCCCATTAGTTCCGAAGAACCATCGCAGAGGTTCGTCAGACTGTTGCATGTCCATGTCCTCGTCCAAATCGTCGGCTGACGATTCTTTGGCTTTCGGAGCAAAGAAAGAAGCTTCTTGGTCGTCGTCGCAAATCAACTGCATCAACCACCCTGGCTGAAGCTGCTCTAGGCATGCTTTCTTCAGATCTGGTCCCACGGCATCCACGAAATGTTTTAATGCCCATAGAGCATTTAACCGGAGAGAGTGATTATCAGAGTGAGCATGCTCGCATAGTACTTTCATTACTCCGCTTTCGGTAAGAAGCTGTTTGGAAGATTGTCAGCGTCGGATCGCCAAGTTCTTCTAGATGGAGGGGAAACGAACCTCTCTGACCGGGCTGACCTCCACAACAAGGTTAATAACAGTGGCCGTGGCAGCAATCTGAATGGTGATGTCTGGATGACGCATGAAGCGGAATATAGGCATGGTAACTGCATGATCCACCAGGGCTGTCCGTAAGATGCTAACTGACCGAGCTAATGTCCTCACTACGTGGCAGCCAGCAATGATGACGGACTGCGGGTTTGTGCCGTAACTCGACACTGGGCCAGACCGTGCAGTCTCGTTGAGCGGTTTGTCTTTTGCCTGCTTCGGCGTTCTAGGAAATTCGCTAAGAGACTCGACCACAAATGGGACAAAGTCTTCTGCGATAAGAGCTTTTCTGTAATCCTCTTTGCCTGCAGACAATGCACCTATAGCCTTCAGCGCAGATTCACGGAGGCGAATTCGATGAGCGAGCAAGGGATTCTGGCCATTCTCCCCGAGCTGTGCAAGAGACGATGTGCTCTCAACATCCATTCCTGTATCCGGATTCGGCGACCAGTACTTGGGCTGGCTCATGTCCTCTACAGGCTGGTATGCCCGTCTGAGCAGCCTTGTGAGGACTTTGACAGCATCGCAGTCAAACGCGGCTTTTTGTAGGTATTCACTGTCTGTAATGGTTCTGGCAAGAATCGCCGGAGCCTTCTCCAAGATTTGAAGTTGGCTTGTATCAAAGGAATCTAGAAGTTCGACTCCGTCCTTGTCATTCTTTGCGATCATGCCTACAAGAATGGGGACCACAAGTAAACCAATGCTGGTCTCTCGAACGCCCTTTCTACCAAGCCCGGCCTTGAAAAGCGCGGCAAGAACCGCGGCTGCCATCAATCGATCGTAATCATTCAATGATCGCACTAGATGGATGAGCCATGGGATGAATGGGCTTTCAATATCTTCGTTAGAGACGTCGACGGTATTTCCCAATGCTTGGAATCGAGGCGAGTCCCACACAGCAGACGAACCAAACTTGCTCAGCGATGTCCTGCTAGATGTCCTAGAGTCGGATCGATCTGGAGTGGGAAAAGACGATGCAACGGCTGACGGCGTTCTCGATGTCGTGATGGGAAGAGAAGGGAGAATAAACTCCATAGCAGTTACTCCGTTGTGCCTCGGTGGCAGCGCCTGCGGTGAATCCCGTGGATCCCCGTATGGTTCAAACTTGACGCTTGGGAAAATTGCTAGCAAGGAAGGCGAGCAGATCAGTCTGTTCGCCCGGTATTTGGAGTCACCAATAATGCAACTGATGGCCTCGAGAATAGGTCCAATTTGGGCACCAGGGTTGGCCGGTTCGGGAAACACCTCGTGAAGCCCATCACTGAGCGCAAGCTCTTCTGCACCTGGTATGACAAGGCCATCTGCAACTGCAAACCTTGCTAGTTGAGCAGCCAAGGAGTCCAAAATACCGCCCATGGTAAGGGCATGTTGGTGCCTGTCTTCTCGACACAGGCGACTTATGAGGGTCGATGCGAGGACAACCTGGGATTGGAGGATATATTTCGAGGACGTCATCGAGAGCATCGCATTGAGCGACTCGATATGGTGGGAAGTGAAGACATCATCGGCAAGAGTTTGTACATCGAGAGGTGACGGCGAAACGGCCAGACGGGCGGCAGAAGTGATGTCGAGGAGCGCTCTCAGAGAAGAAACGACCACCTGTGGGGGACTCGTGTAGGGCGAAATGTTTCCCAAAATGGCCGGTACGACACGAGCTGCGTGTAAAGGGTGAAGAAACGCGGGTCCACCTAGAGGCGACGAATTAGAAGACGGGCAAATAGAATTGGTAAAGGATGGCCGAGGACGCATAAGCGACAAGCCGCCGCCGGGAGGGAAATCATTGTCGTACCGTTAGCAAAGCTTGCGACGAGCTGCAGGGCCTGGAGCTTGACCGAGTCGTCGTCGGATAGAGGCCGCGACAGAGGCTGGACAGTAGCATCTTTTCCGTTCAATTTCGCAGGTGAACGGCTGGAATACAGAGTTCTGACTATGGGTTCAAGAACGCCGAGGCCAATCCATGCCTCCTTCTTCTGCACATGACCAACTATTTCATTCTTGAGAGCCTGCAGGGCTGCCGCCTGCTCGGGCAGTGACTTTGCATTCCGCAGCTGTGCTAGAATCGACGAATTCTGCGGTCGAGCCATGGGAGCTGTTCAACTAAACGGAGCTACAATTGATGTTGCCCTCGTTTGTTGGCGCATCGGCATCACGAGGAAGCGGATATCCGTGACGCCCGATTCCCAAGGTCCTACCCGGGTTTCCTGCGCCTAGTCTATGGAGGATGATCGATCGGTATAGCAAGATGACAGTCCCAAATGCAGTGTCGATGGCAAGCGGGAATTCGATGTCGGGGGAGCAAAGCTGTGAATCTACAACGCAACGAAGCTCAATGATGCCCATTGTTGTCGTAAAGGGTTTGGTGACATTTAGTTGGGGGCACGTGCATTCTGTTTATCTTATCGGCTGAAGTCTGTCTCCGCGCATCTTGGCATGCAGTGGGCAAAGCTCGCCAGCCGGTAGTAACGAGACATGATATTGAGTGTACCCGGACAGTATGGTACTCTGTATAATATAATACGAGAAGCATACAGAAGAGCAATAAAAAAAATAAATAATAATTGCTCAGTGCTAGAAAATATTGTGCAAACACGACTTCAACAGACCCGACCAAGACCGACGATTAGCCGAGGACTCACAACAATAAGATTAGGTGCAAGCATTTCCGTCAGCTACCCTGGAGAAACACGATCCTCCAACTGAGCATATATATATGCTTATTTGTCATCGCTCTCTGGATTTGTGTCAACATTAACCCCGTGTGTCCCAGTTAAGATATTGGGGTTTCTGGGCCGAAATTTTGGTTAGCCGACTACGGCCAAAGAATCATGCCTTCTGCTGAGATACCAGTACAACAGCATGTACCAAGCCAATGGGTCAGTCTCCTCCGGGTTACCATTGGATCGAATTCGGGTTTTACGTCGGGGTTCGATATTTATCCCACTAGTCGTGATTTACCTTGGAATTGTGATAATACAAGGTCATGGGTATTCCTAGAAGGCACTGGGTCTAAACAATCGGCAACCTGGTATCCCTTCCGAATAGCTTCTCAGGAGCATCTAACTCACGGCCAACCGAGGACAAGTTGACCGCGGACCTCCGCGAGAGCCATCCCAAAGAAGGCACGCACACTAGAACTACCAGGAGGCGTGATCGATGGAACTCAACATCCACCACATCGGGCAAGCCCTCATCGGAGACCAAAATAGGAAATCCTGTTTGCAATTGATTTGATACTGGTCCGATTAATGCATTCGGTCTCGGATGGCAAATGCTTCGTATGTATCCGCAACGAGTACGATAGGATCCATTTATACAGACAGGGTGGACGAGATGGTAGCAGAGGCCGCAAACTCCGTACCATTCAACACTGGCCTCGGGGGTAGGTCTGGACAATGAGGACCTGAGGTCTGACCTCCGCAGAACGAGTACTTGTTATCAAGCAATACCCGATGCAAAAACCTCCTTTTATGTATGTACGTATGCGTGAGAACCCGTCGGGCCGCAGTCCCCAGCAAATCTTGCCTTTGCAAGGAGTCGGTTTTACTCATTTGACGACTGCAGACTACCCAGGCAGCAAACCGGGCGAAAATGAGACAACGCGCATGCCGGGCCCATACAGCTGCAGGTACGAATCAGGTAGCCCTATGCTGACACGAGGGTTAGTCGGGACAGGGTAACGTATTTGCTCTCCGCGTTGATGGCCAATGTCTCTGTTGTGACGTGCGTCGTGGTACATGAATATAGTAGTTTATTGAGACGACCGAGGATGTGCATTCTTCTCCCCTCGCTTGGCTATTTTGTTCTCCCCTCCACTGACTAGCATGGCGTGACCAATTTCCCCGTATAAACCTGTTCGAGGCTTGGTCTGGGGTGCAGCGAGTGCTTGTGTACACTAGCTGGGTATGTACGTATGTACTCTGGGGTAGAACTTGGAAACTTTTGGGAAACCCGAGGATTCTTTGATGTTGGGGAATCTTGCCGATAACCGGTGTGGCTCCCATGGACAAGTTCGATCCGATAGCACAAGAACTCTTTTGGGCAAGCCAATCTGGGCATTGTCAGCTTGGAGTCACCGAGAAGTTAGCATATACTTCGCTATATGCTCCTATACAAAGGCATTACACAATTACAGATACACTGACTGACAAGACCAAAATGGACTGTGCGATCATGAGCAGGGCAGACCACGATCATGCCAACAGGCGGCCGCAAATTGCGCTTGACTCGCCCAGCATCTGATGCGGAAACCTCCAGAGCGGAAACACAGCCTTCTTTTTTCTTTCGCAAGAGAGGCCCACTTTGCCCACTGGCGGAGTCAAAGAGTTAAGTTATAGGAGCGTCCGTGGTGTGTCGGAGAGCATTCGTGTTTGCTTGTACCACAGCCCCTTTACAGCCTGGTCTGCCTGCTGGCTTCATCTTCGAATGCAGTTCGCGGGCTGGCCGAGCGGAGGGGCTGAGGGGTCAAGAAGGTGGCTTGCTGATGCATGTTGCCCCACGTGAAGTTGGCAACATTTTGAACGTTGACTTGTCGGAGCCCGCAGACCCCGCCGGCCGGGGGGCCTGAGAGTGCAAGTGTTAACCTTTATTATTAGCGATGACAATTCGAACCAGCAGCAGACTTGAGTGGACCAGAGCGCACAGGAGGCACTTGACGGGGCCACAGGGGGCCACAGGGGGCACATAGAGCATCGCTGGCACCAGCTGCCGCCAGTTGGAGCGGCCATTTGACCATTTGGCACCATCATGTCTGGTGGTGGCAGTTTCCCTCATTTGCCTTCCTCTCCGACACTTCCAAATGTTGCAAGTTTCCTTGCTTCACCCCAGTCACCGCCATGCTGTCTTCATCTTGATTTATCTATTTATTTTTTGTCCTTGATTAGGCAACTGTGAGGCCACCAACTATCCTCCACCATTGCCATTGCATCACTTGAGCACGTCCTGAAGAGGGTGTACTCTAACCACTCGTCGGCCTCGCGCCTAACCAAACAGCCGCCGTCTTCAGCTGCTAGCAACGTTGGAACTTCCGCCACCTTGCGCTCGACCGTCATCCATCATCCACAGATCAATCGCCCTGTCCTGACCCTGGCAGTCGGGACGTTCGCTCGCTTCTCAAGTTGAGCTGCAACTTGCGTGCCAAGTACCGAGTTCTGCAGACACAAGTCATCTGATCAATCTCGACCTGCGAACAACCAACACGTCGCCGTCGCCGTCGAAAGGCCCTTCCGCCTCATCTACTCGGGCACTGAGCCCTCAAGTACAAACGCCGTTGTACTTGTCGTGCTCGTCGTCCTCATCGCACTCCTTGTACTCGCTGTGCCCAGCTCCCTTATCGCTGCCTTGCGGAAACATCGAGTCCCACGACCACAGCCAAGGGCATTCTTTCCTTTGCAGGACAGGGAACCACCTCATCCTGTTGTTCAATGAATTGTCTTGGCTGTCTTGGTGCCGTCCGCGCAGTCGCTCTAAAGCGACGAGGTCCTAGAGTCCTTCCGTAACCAAGCGCATCTCATTGTCGCATTGCCGCACGGAAGCACCATAATCCCAAGCAACCAATTGGCATTCGCCGGACACAGGGCCTAAACGCATCGTCTCGATGCAGATGACGATGCGCTGCCCACCATGTTGAAAACATCTCCAATTCTCACCAGCTCTGCCAATGCGTCGCCCACCAGCTTTCGCCGCGGTCATGCAACTCCTCCGTCGCCCCAAGCATCCCCTCGATTGACATCGTCAACCTCGACCGCACGTCTGCGTCAGTCAGCGACTACGACTTCGCCAAAGGCTACCTCCAACTCCCCTCGCCGCCTGCATGCGAAACCAACCGAATCGGCTATCGACGGCCGTGTGCAACATGACGGTGTAAATTCGCGCCAGGAGATCAATCAACTCAGTCCATCACCGCACCCTCAGGCTCAGGCTCGACCCCAACACATTGTCACGCCTGCGGCTTCCGGCTCTCTGCCAAGCGGATCACCTGCGCACCCTCAACCATCAACCGGATCTGACAACGAGGCTCAGAAGCTCTTGTCACCAAACAAGCGAAGGGTGTCTCCTGGTGGCCCGAGTGATGATACGCCCGCCACCTCACAGACTGGTGAGCGCATTGGGGGTCGTGCGCCGTCATCTGCAATAACAACTGCGCCGAAGCGAGCAAGGACTAGTGGGGAGCCAAAAATTTTGCCTCAGCGCTACGAGCTTTGTGCAGTAGAAGACATCGTGGAGCTGATAGCTCACATGTTGGCTGAGTTGATTGCGACAAATGACGCCATTCGAATATCGAGCGGAGGCTTAACACGTTTTCATTCCAGGTGCGTTTCCCAAGGCTGCAAATGCCACGGGCTGATGGAACCCCTACTTTTACCAATCTACACCAAAAAAAAAAAAAAGAACCTTTCTTCTGACTCATGAATGGTGCCTCTGGCCACCTCACAGACTGGTGAGCGCATTGGGGGTCGTGCGCCGTCATCTGCAATAACAACTGCGCCGAAGCGAGCAAGGACTAGTGGGGAGCCAAAAATTTTGCCTCAGCGCTACGAGCTTTGTGCAGTAGAAGACATCGTGGAGCTGATAGCTCACATGTTGGCTGAGTTGATTGCGACAAATGACGCCATTCGAATATCGAGCGGAGGCTTAACACGTTTTCATTCCAGGTGCGTTTCCCAAGGCTGCAAATGCCACGGGCTGATGGAACCCCTACTTTTACCAATCTACACCAAAAAAAAAAAAAAGAACCTGTCTTCTGCCTCATGCATGGTGCCTCTGACATGAAGATTATAGGACTGCGCCAGGCATATCTGTACGAGACTACCTTCACCGCCTGGCGAGACACGCTACACTTACACCTCCTCTACTTCTCTCCATGGTGTATTACATTGATCGTTTATGCGCCTTGTATGCCGAATTCACGATAAACACTCTCACGGTTCATCGATTTTTGATCACAGCAGCCACCGTAGCTGCCAAGGGGCTTTCCGATTCATTCTGGAACAACACGACTTACGCTAGGGTTGGCGGCGTCCGGGTTGCCGAGTTGAAGATGTTAGAGCTAGAGTTTCTCTATAGGGTGGATTGGAAAATCGTGCCT